AATCTTAGAGAGAGAAGCCATTTTTTGTAGTGAGAGAAGTGAATTTCAAAAAAAAAATTGAAATAAAACAGAGGAGCTAATTTTAAATAAAAAATCGTGAATGCTTGCTGGTATGTTCGCTTGAGCGAGTAGGAGCAATGAGCAAATGTTGTATCTTGCGGGTATGCTCGCTTATGCGAGCTCTTTAGTGAGGAAAATTGTAACTAGCGAAAATAACTCGCTGAAGTAAGTGTTTTAGCAAGCAACACCTAACTTTCAAATTTTCACATTTTAAAACCATACAATCCAAATCAAATTCCAAACTATATTATGTTAAACAGTCCTTAACATCAAATCAAATTCACATACAAATGCAATGAATATAGAATGTATGAAATGCATTAGAGCATGGAATGATTCTTAATGATATAACTAATGTGTTTCACAAAATCTAAAACGTCTAACCCAGAATCTTTGACATCTTCAATTTGAGTCTTCAATAAGCCTGGACATCATCAAAACCAATTAGTATAATCCTTTAATTTGTAGAAGTTCCTTCAAGAGGCACCATCTATGGTCATTCACACACCTAATCTCATAGCAAGAGACACAACTCAACCCATTGTTGAACAAAGCAGTGATCATAGTAGCAGTGTTTGTTCCACAACCCTGATTTGACTGTAAATGTTCCCATATCCATAAGCCCTACCTTCCCAATTTCCATCAACCAACAATTTAGTCAATGGAATGCTTTAAGATATGCATTTTACAGAGAAAAAAAATGGAATTTTTTTGAAGTAGTGTTTTAATTGCTACATAGTCATAGTGCATATGCGTACCCACTGTCCCTGATTCATCACCCCCTCCACAGAAGGTAGCATGAGCATCAATCCACCCTCCACCACAGGCCTTAGCAAATGAGAACATTGCGAGAAAAACCATCAAGATCAACCCAAAAAGAGCCATTCTTCTGAACATGTACAAAACAAAACAAAAAAGAAAAAAAAAATGTTGCACTGGAGTAGGAGGCAGAACTGGTTGAAAAAAGAACAGAAAAGAAAAATGGGTACCACTGTAGGAGGGGCAGTACTCAAACCTGCGGACCCTAGGCAGAACCAAAAGCCCCCAGCTATAAAATCATTCCATCCAATACCAAACAGGTGAATTGGGTATAGTAATTAAGATCACGAATAGGTCAAAGAGCAGTACTGTAACGTTATCCATTATAATGAATTCTTGTCAGACCTTTTGTTTTTGGGTTTTAATTTTTTCATGTAGTAAGAGAAAATTTTCTCATGCTATAAACATATTTTGTGCGGGACCCACATCTATTAAAAAAATACTGCACAAAAATCGAAGGGCCACTAGTAGAAAAAAACAATTTTCCCGTAGAAAATGTTTCCCTATGTTTTTACATATCCTTCTCGAACTTTAGGATCTAAGCACTCGATGGCATAGCCTAGGTACCTATTCTACTACTATATAATGCTCTTTTTCATAGGAAATGTTATATTTACAAATTTTTTGTTTACAAACTCTTACAAACTACACTATGTCTGACCGGTAATACACTCTTGAGTAGTATATTACCAGTCAGACATAGTGTAGTTTGTAAGTTTATAAAAAAAAAGTTTGTCAAAATAACCCTACTCCTTTTTTATTATTATATCATTTTTACTTGATTCTAGCTTCTACATAATTCCAAAATGCAAATAAAAGGAATATGCTATCAGTTCCATATATATAATTCAAATAAACTTCTAAAAATGATTTTTATATCTAAGAACTTTTTTCAAGAATAATTTGAAACGTTTAATATAAACCTACTAAAATTATGTTGACTGAAAGTTATAAATACTTTTTTTGACATAAAATTAATTTTGATTTACCGTTCAAAAAACTTGAAATTGGCAGAATTTTTCTTTAAAATACATAATTTGAAAATTCAAAATTAAATTGGCAAAAAAAAATTCCAAGAAAAACAAACACTAATTATATGGTATATGCCTATCAAGTGCCAATTATGCAATATCGGAATTAAGTAGAAGCAAAATCAAATACTCCAAGTATGCTTGTGGCATGCATTGGCCTCCCTGTATATATCCACAGTCCCTACTACCAACCATCAGTGCATGAATTCATTTTACAATAATAGTTTTAAAAAAGAAGAAGGAAAAAGACCATATCTGAATTTGGAGAAGCTAGTTGCTAGAGTATGCACCTTTAATTGGCAACAATATACCAAACGGTTCAAAGATGTGGAATAGGTATGTATATATGGCTGGTATGCGGGGTCCTTGGCTTTCAGCCTTCAGTGATAATGTGATGTTGCTTCCACGTGAGCTTGCTACACATTTATAATGTTCGTATTGTACTTGCCATTGGTTTTGCTTGGTTGTTAAGAAACATCCCCACTATTGCTCAATGGCAACATGTATTATGAAATTATGGTTGGTTGTGGTGTTTTTTGTTTTAAACTTGATCATTATATATAAGACTTCAAATTATATTCTTTAATTTCTTGTGCCTCCTCTACACATTGATCATTATGTGTATCTAGTTTGGGCTTTATTAATCTCATGCAATAGGAGAGAGCTCTCTCATGCTATAGAGACAATCATGTGTGACACCCACCCACTTATAGAAAAAGATAAAAGATAAAAAAGTAATACGAAAATCGATGTATGTGTAAGAGATAAAAACACTCTCCTACAACATAAGAGTATATTTTCCCATCTAGTTTATATATATCAAAAAAGTAATTTGAAAAGTGTGTGTGTAGTTTCGGAGGAGGTAATGTTATTGCATTTACTGTTTATGTATTCAAATAGCTAGAAATATTTCACATGTCAAAAGATTTCTACGATTTCATCCAATAATGATTTCGTTTTAATATTGGTTAAGTAAAACTTTGATAAAAGTTCTTGAGTAAGTAAGAGTATATTTATTATCCTTAAATTTTAGTAAACGAAGATCAAGATTCACGCGTTAAAACAAGGGTAGGTATACTCTTATTTAGAGACAAATTCACTTTGAAATAGTCTTGTCCTAAAATTTTACTTTATAAGAATTCACGCTTTTTAAAGTCTCCGAACAAATTTAAATTTGAGAAAATAAGGTATAATAACCTTTTTTTTAAACCATTTAAACTAACATCCGTCGATATGATTCGAGTGATAAAGTTTGTATTATGGAAAAAATGATTGTTCTTTCAAATAGGACAACTTGTATCATTTTACTCTCACAAAAAAGTGGGACCCATACTTTTATTTTTTTTGTCCACTCTCTCTCCTCTATAATCTATTTATTTATCTCACTGAAAATGACACAACTTGACATCCTTTAAAATGATACACATTCTTCCCATAATACTATAAATAAAACACTTTTCACCTGCGCAATTGTGGATATAGTTTAAATTTAGTTAGTTGTAATTAAAAATAAAAAGTATTATATCATTGAAATAATTAAGATATTTTTACTATTAATAATGTTTTTAATATTTTTTTAATAGATAATATCATATAATTTAGCAATAACTAGATGGAAATTGAATATACAGCTAACTAAACTTCCTTAATAAAGCTTTCATAATGCAAGATTGATAGGGAATTTGGCAATGATAGCATATATAAAGACTCAAATCAAATGTCACCCTTTGTTATCCCCGATTTCATTATTGGCAGTAAATAAATCATGAGCTTTCTTTGTTAACTTTCCATTTCTTCATTTTTAATCTTTTACTTTAGGAAGGATCATTGAGGGATGGTGTTTAGGTCAAGCAAGATGGCCACTGGTGTCTCATATTCCTTTGATGTGTTATTTTCTCCTTTGATATAAAAAGTTAGTTTGGATATGAGCCATCATGCCTGATCCTAGCATATATTTGACTTCTCCAATTCCTAATCAGAGGCCCTACTTTGTCTGCAATGCATCTAATATTTCCCTTTCTCTGTTATACATGTTTGGTTATCAATTAGCTAGCTTCAATTTTGGCTTTACAACCAAGAATATCAGTTCAAATTCACATTGTAATTGTGACTTTAAAACGGGACAAAAAGTGGTGAGTAGTAATCATTTATTTAAATCTTCTATGACGTTATAGTGGGGGAAATTTTTACTGTGTCTCACCAAAGCCCATGTGCTAAGCCAGCAGAAAAGCTTATGCTTTTTTAACTTCTCATTTCTCATAGGTGAAGAAAAAGGGGGGGAGGGGTGGAATTAAGAAAAATACGCAGTTGTTTTTGCTAAACAACTCAAAAAGAAAGTTTATGCGTTTTATATTTACTATTTTTAATCTTATTTTTTCTCTTTAACTATCATTAGTTATTAAATATTCGTACAATGGTACATATTTATTTATTTATTTTTTTAAAAAAAAAACTCGATCTTGTTTTTTCTTTATCTCTTTTCAGTTTGTCCTTGTGTGCTTTGACAAAATTCCGCAAGGGACAAACTCATCGTTTCCAGCTCTCTGTCGTGTAGTGGATATTCAATTCATCATTCCCAGCAGAGTGCTGGAGAAAAGATTAATCCGTTTACGTTTATACAAATATTTATATTTGAGCATCATTTTTTTTCTTCATATAATTAGCTATTGCCTTCCCTTAAAACTTATATAAACCTTTTAATTGTGAACATCATTTCTATAACTTTGTCATTGAGCACATGTAAAGTATATACACGAGGAAATGTATCTCTAATCTCATGTAACGTTATACAAATGAATAATTATTCTTTTCTAACTTACTATCAATTTATTATTATATTATCTCAAATTTATGTACATTTAAAATTATCTCACATAACGTATTCATGTTATATAATACGTGGAATGATTCAAACCCTATATATCCATTCCTACCAACTATGGGATTTTTAAAAAATAAAATAAAATAAAAGTAGCTTACATTAAATCTCCTTGAAGAAAGAATGATGAATTATTTTGAATTGAGCACCAGAAACCATGGAAATAATTACAATGATTTTTTTTTTTTTCTTTTGTGGAAGAGGGTTCTAGTCTACAAACGAAGACCAATAGCAATGGCCTTATTTGTTTCTAAATTTGTTGTTTCATAAACAGGAAGCTCTTCTTGGTACCTTCCAGCTCCAACAAGGTGATCCAATTCAAACAGGTCCGAACTTGAATAGCTCAGAGCATCACCATCATCACCCTCATCATTTTCATCACCATTATCATAAAAACCTCTAAAACCATTTTGGTAACCCTTCATAAAACCATTTTCTTTAGCCATAACACAGTTCTTCTTCATCTCCTTTATTGAAGAACTTCTTGTCATCTTTCGAACACTAGATAATGGCAACAAACTTGGGTCGTTCTCATAATTAGAGTACCTGTGGCAAGATGGTTGAGAATCCTCACCAAGGATTACGCTATCTGGGTAGAACCTCACACACCTTTTGACTCCATTATTGTTGGGCTTCTTCCCTTTTGCTGAAGATGGCGTTTTACTCATGCAAGACCTCCTTGAAAACGAAGATGCTGAAGAAGAAAAACATGGGGACTTGGATTTGTGCTCAAAGGTTACATCTTCCACTGCACCAACGTAGCACATTTTGGCTTTCTTCATGTTCCCAGAGTTGAAGATAGAACTAAGAAAGCTAGCTATGCGATTTCCTGGTGAAATGGGTTGCTTCACTTTCTGATTCAACTCGCCGTATATCTTCAATGCCCTCAACTTTGTCCTCGCAAAACCACCCACTTTTTGATGCTGTTGTTGCTTCTCTGAATATTTCTTCTTAATATTCCTCTCGGATTTGGGTCTTGGTCTTGGTTTATGGCTTGTGTCTGTTTCTGAAGATGAAAACACTGCTCCAGAACTAGACTCTGAGGAGCATGAAGCTGAGTTCAAGAACTGAGAGCTTTGTGAGCTTTGCTTCTCCATCCAATCTTCTATCATCACAGCTCGGCGAAGATTCATCCTTTCTTTGTTCCCACTTTTCTTTTCTACTCCGGCACCATGATTGTGGTTGGAGTTCAAATTGCTCTGTATGTGGGTGGTTTCCTTGAAGAGACCCAGTTGTTGATCGACGTCAAGATTGGATTTTGATTCGTCAATTGAACGGTAAATGGCGTCGAGGAGACTGGAGGAGAAAGATGGGGTTCTTCTTCTTTGTGGGTATGATTCGTTTCTCTCCATCTTGTACTTGAGCTATTTGGGGTTTAGTGCATAGTATAGTTTTTCTGCTACAGAGTGAACATGAATTTATAGGGAAAATGGAAACAGAGGAGATGTTGGACGTGTGTGTGTGTGTGATGAGAGTAAGAGAGGACAGTGAGGATTTGTTTAAGGGTTGTGAAGAGCTGTGATGTTGGGGCAGAGAATGTCAAAAGCTGTGAGAGACATTTAATAGAGTGCAACTAGATCATGTGAGAAACAGAGAAAGATTGCGTGTGATTTGAGGTTAGAGAGAGAAAAAGAGGAATAGAGAGTGCAGAATAGGGAATTTCTGTGACAAGTGACAACGTGGGTAGGGATTGTGTTCTTATGTGTCTGTACGCAAGCATTTTTAGGTGTTTGTAGCTGCAGTGTAGTGTACAGCTTTGGGAGAACATGAAAATTTAATGAGAAATACGATTGTATATGAAAGCTCCATGCTTAGCCTGACTCACAGAGAGAGAGAGAGAGAGAATAGCGGAATCAATTATTATGATCCTTAAAAAAATAGTGATGTCAATCACATTACCCTGCTACTTGTTAGCAACATTGATTAGTTATTTTTATTTTTTAAAGAATGGGATTTAAAAAATTAAATGACTAATTTAATATTGTATATCTCTAAATAATTAATTTAGTATACTATAAATAAAAGACTAATATAATTAGGCATAATTAGTCTAATATTTTATAGGATACAAAAGTAGGAATCATTTAAATAAATAAAAAAGATAAATTAAGAATCATTTGGCTAATAGCCTAATACGATATGGACGTTACTTGGAGAAAAACAAAGCTAAAGGCCCACTACAATCCAACGTTTGATAGATTGAATTGGAAGGGTTTTAGCCCCTAAATTGTGTGGTTTAGACTTTGTATGTATTAAAAATAGGAAAAGTGTGTATCATTTTAAAGGATACAAAGTTAAGTCATTTTAAGTTAAAGAAAAAGATAAATCATAATAGAGAGTGGGGGAAAGTTTTAAGGATGTGGGTTCTACCTCTTTGTGAATGTGAAAAGATATAAAGTGTGTCATTTAAAATAACACACTTTTTCCCATAAAAAAAATGCCTTTAAAAAATGTTTTAGCTTCAACATTTAATTCTAATTATATACCCTTAAAAAGAAGAGTAAATATCATTTTTGGTTCTCAGCAAATTTTAGGATACTCGCTTTAGTTCCGAGCAAATAAAAAGGCTATTTGTTGTCCCTAAGAAATTTAAAATTGACTCATTTAGTTAAAATCGTGGTCCCTCATAAATTTAAAAAAGATCTATATTAGTCCCTCAAAAGGATTAAAATAGTCCACTTTGAACTTCTTAGAGACCATGAATAGTTTTTCTACTAAAGCGGACATTGTAAAATTTCCTGAGAATCGAAAATGATATTTACTTAAAAAAATAAAAATAAAAAGAGCGCACTTCAAGAGGCACGAGGGAATTGTGTGCGTAAAAAGTTGAAAGTGACTCCCGCGCGTGCGGGAGATCTTTTTCAGGCCTCGCCTGCTGCTTTTTGTGGTTGTGCTTTTATACTCATTTTTAAATGGAGTTTGATATCATTTGCCAAGATGATTTGCCCTTTTCTTTTGTATAAATACTATTATTACTTCTTAAGGGAAATCTAATATAAATCCTTCATTTCCTTTTTCGGTCTCTAGCTAAGATAATCTGATAAACGTACGCTTCAAATGACAAATTACGATTTCTTAATGTTAGTAATAATTTGTAATTTATAATGATTTTAATAACGTTAAAAGATTACATTTTATTGATTAATGCCCACTCGCAAGACTAATCTTAGAACTAATTAACAAGGAATAATTTTTGTTAATGACAATTAACAATAAATATTTAACCTAAAGAGATATAAAAAAAATCAAGCTATTTTAAAAGACTATCCAACATTTATTTAGAGAGAAGGATCTTTAAATTTCACTCCATGATAAAAAAAAATCCTTGTTTATGCTGTTATATTAAGTCACATGTGTAATTCAGTCAATTAGTTATGTTTAGTCAGTTATCAGAGTTAGTTGGTTAGTTGGTTATAACTGATATATAATTAGTCTCTCTCTGTATCAAACCGAGTTTTTGACATAATGCCATTTAGTCTCTTTTTCTGTCATGGGTATTCTTCTGGTTTTTCTTTGTTTCATAACTTGGTATCAAGAGCTTTTTCTTTCTGGGCACTTTGAATTTTCTTCTCCGATCTAGAGCTCAATTCGAGATTTGCGATTCAGCTTCTTTTCCTCTGAAATTTCTTGATCTTTCATTTTTATTTTATTTTTTTGTATTGAAATGGCAAACCAAAGCTCAACCCTTCTAGATTATGTGACTAATCCTTCAACCTTTTTTTTTGCATCCTAATGAAAATCCTTCACTGGTGCTTGTTACACCACCATTGAATGGAAGGAATTATCAAGCCTGGGTGCGTTCCATGAAGATGGCTCTGAAATCCAAGAATAAGCTTGGATTTGTTGATGGAAGCATAATTGTACCTGCTGAATCAGATCCTATTTTTCCTGTATTGGAAAGGTGCAATACAATGGTGTTGTCGTGGATTACAAAATCAATATCTGATTCAATTGTGCAGTCAGTACTATGGATGGAGAAAGCAATTTATGTATGGAAGGACCTTTGTGAAAGATTTTCATAATTAGATATCTTCCGAATTTGTGATCTGCAAGAAGAAATTTTTAGGCTCTAACAAGGTGAGAGATTAGTTTCAGATTTCTACACACAATTAAAGACACTATGGGACGAATTGGAGAGTTTTCAACCTCTATCGATTTGCAGATGTCCAGTCACTTGCAGTTGTGGTGCTTTAAACCATGGAAGAAAATCAAGGGATAGAGATCAGATTTCTGAGGGGATTGAATGAATAATTTGCCCATGTGCGATCTCAGATAATGCTTGTTGATCCTCTCCCAAATATCAACAAGGTATTTTCCTTGATCATCCAACAAGAACGACAACTGAATTTGGATCAAGAAGTAAGCACACTTGCGGGTTCCAAATTTTTTATTAACACCTCTGAGCATCAAAGTGTTAAAGGTGGAAACTCTTATCGAGGCAGAGGACGGTCCAATTATGGAAGAAGAAGGATTAACACTGGGAAACTTTGCACTCACTGTGGAAAAACTAATCACACAGTGGACACATGTTATCAAAAACATGGATACCCACCAGGTTACAGAACCAGAAACAGTCTTGCAGCTAATGCAGTTTCCCTTGACCCAAAGAATGTCGATGATAAATCAGAAATTTCTCGGCATTTCAATTCAAACCTGCAATTTTCACCAGAGCAATTCCATAGTTTGCTAAACTTGTTGGAACAATCCAAGCAGCCTTCTACTTCTGCCCATTCATCAAATCTTGTGCACATCTTTGCACTTACAACAGACTCTCCTCCAACAGGTAACACTTTTGTCCAATAGATTTTAGACACAAGAGCAACAGACCACATCACTCCTATTATGTCTCTATTTACTTCTGTTCAAAGGATTAAACCTGTTACCATATCTCTCCAAATGGATCTCGAGACTATTCTCATCATTCTGGGAATATACATATCTCAGATAGCTTTGTTTTACAAAATGTGTTATATGTTCACAATTTTCACGTTAGCCTGATTTATGTTACAAAATTGCTGAAAGACATGAATTGCATTCTTGTACTTAATGGGTCTTCTTGTGTTATCCAGGAGATGCATATGAGGCAAATGATTGGTTCAGCTAATCAACACAATGGGCTGTACATCCTATCCAAGCCAGAAAGTCATTCGAAATCTGTCCAGTGCAACATTGCTTCCTTAGACTCTTCTGTTTTTTGGCATTTTAGATTGGGTCACTCTTCTCAAACTACAATCAAGAGCATGTTTTTCCTTTTTCCTTTTATTCCTTGTAAACATGTTAGTTCATATGACATTTGTCACCTAGCTAAACATAAAAGGTTGCCATTTACTTCTAGTGTTACTCAATCAAAATGTATTTTTGATTTGATTCATGTTGATATATGGGGTCCCTATGGTGTCCCCTCAATAAATGGACATAGATACTTTCTTACCATAATTGATGATTTCTCTCGTTTCACTTGGACTATTCTAATGAAAACCAAAGATGAAACCAGAATGCATATAGAGAACTTTGTTAAACTTGTTGAAATTCAATTCCAAACCTATGTTAAAGTCATTAGAACTGACAATGGACCAGAATTTCTCATGGACTCTTTCTTTCATGAGAAAGGTATCATACACCAAACTTCTTGTAGAGAAACACCCAACAAAATGGGGTGGTTGAGCGTAAACATCAGTATATTTTGGATGTTGCTCGAACTATTTTCTTCCAGTCTAATCTTCCCAAACAATTCTAGACATTTGCTATAACCCAAGTTGTTCATATTATCAATAGGTTGTCCACTCTTGTTTTACATCACAAAACACCATATGAGAGGCTTCATGGCTCACCTCCTTTGTTATTTGACCTTAGAGTCTTTGGATGTTTATGTTACGCATCCACAATTTCATCTCATAGAACTAAATTTGATCCCAGAGCTCGAAAATGTGTGTTCCTTGGGTACAAAGAAAGCACTAAGGGGTATGTTCTATTGGACATTAATTCACATCAATTATTTGTCTCTAGGCATGTTGTTTTCTACGAGCTGCATTTTCCCTTCTCAGATAAATCGAAGTCAGTAAATGATAATTCCCAATACCCTTCCATTACTACCTTTGATCAAACCGTATATGATCTATTGCCTTCTTTTACATCAGCTAATCCTTCTTCTGATTCAGTCACATATAATATACCTGACCCAATTCCTTCTTCTTCTTCTGATTTAGTCACAGTTAATATGCCCAACCCAATTCCTTCCCCTACCAAAAGATCCACAAGAATCAAAACCAAACCTAATTATCTTAAAGACTATCATTATAGCCTATCTGTTAAGACTACTGAACCATCATCTTCCTCAGGTAATGTAACATCA